ATTTTAAGAAATGATCCCAGGACAGGAGTGGGACCTAGGGAAGAACGGAAATTCAAAACAAGGATGTAACCCTGAGTTGATGACTACCATGGGCAGCCAGGTGAAACTAGGTCCTGCTGGGACCCTTTGTGGAGCAACGAAGAAAGCACCTCAAAATAGCCCACCAATGGGGCAGGAGGGGGGTCATTTCACTGTTTGCCTGTGTGTCCAGGATGACCCCATGGGGGTAGGTGTAAATGCCTCAGCCTTTCATACTGCTCAGGCATAAGTGAAGAGTGGATTCCCCACCAAGAGCACTTGGAAATGCAAGAGCTTCACAGTGTGGCTGAGGGGAGGTGCTGTCAAGCCTGGGGAAACACTGTAGATGTACTGGCAATGGACAGAGAGAAAAGCGGACGAGGGAAATGAGGATATTGCGAGAATGTGGTAGCCCAAGGAGGGACACCACTGCTTCAGCACTGTGGGGTTATCTGTGCCCCAAAGACAATGGCACAACTACTGCAAAATTAACAATACCTCTAGCAAGCCCTTTATTAGCCAATACAGAGGTGGGATGAAAACGTGGCTCTTGGATACTTAGTATCTTTTTCCTTTAGTTGAGAAAGTGAAGGATTTTTAATTGTATTTCAAATATTATGTTACTGGAAGCTGTGACAGAACAGGCAGGAACACAGAGAGACACACACACACATTTTTATAAATACCTACATATTTGTATCTTCCAGTTTTTTGCCTAATGACTGATTAGTTTAAAAATACAACAAGAAAAATTACCACAATGGCGTATCTAAATGCCTCTGGAACTTAAAATGGCAATTTTGAAATCTATAATGGAAAAAGAGGGACATACCTTTTCAAACTGTCATACTGCAAGACCCTCTGCCAAAATGCCAATCTGGAGTGTGTGTGTGTGTGTGTGTGTGTGTGTGTGTGTGTAATTTAAGGTCCAATCATATGACAAGGACAATAAAACAAAATGCTAAGAGGAAGAAAAAACCCCTGAAGGTATTGTCTTCCTTTTTTTTGAACTAACTCAAACACCTAAGATGGTAAAGGCAAAGTCATTTAAATCATTTCCTTAGTAATACAAGTAATATTTAAATAGATTTAATAGTGCTGCTCCAAACCAATGAATTATGGGTTTAAAACCTATTAAAATGTAATGTTTTTTTCCTGAGCTGAGAGGAGAGAGATTTAAATCCACTGAATTTTAATATTTCAGCTTGAGCTGCAGGAGGTAGAGAAAGTCCAAATGAACTATTCCATCAGCACCATTCAAGCATGAACATTTTAATCAGTTTTACTTCCTTGGAGTTCTCTAACACAGTTTACGCTGTCATTCTGAAAGCACTTAACACAGAGAGTGTGAAAAACCACCAAGGCTTGTTATTGCCTTCACAATTGATGGCAAATAATTTTGCAGACTTCCTATCATTAAAATGTCACTGCTAAAAATTGAGGTTCAGCATTTCTTGTGCTAAACTGCATTTTCCTACAAACACCACGGCATACCTGTTCTTAAGGAATTTTTAAGGGTTTTTTTTTTTTTAATGCATATTTCTACCTTTTTTTTTTTCCCCTTCAAAGAGTTAGGTTAAAAGGGAGGGTGGAGGGAAATCCAAAGGAACCCCACTTTCTATTTTTACAAGCCAAACATTTTCTCTTCCAATGTTCGTACTAACAAAACTCTTTTTCCTAATGGTGGCTTCTTTAGTGAAATTCTTTAGTGAAATTCTTATGAGGTTCCAAGCCAGTCTCCTTTATTAAGCATAACCACATTCACACAGCATGTGCTGATTATATAGTGTAATGGATTTAAAAAGCATTTTAAGATAGTCAGATGACTCAATTTAATAATACAGGAAATGAAAACATCATTTCTAATTAGATCATATTACTGATTTAAAACTACAATTTGTGTGCTGTTCCAACAGTGTGATCTCGCAGAGATTCTAATTTAAAAACACAGTGGCTAGTAGGACACATAACAAGATCAGACTAGATACATAACATTCCCTCAGCCCATTTGGGGGAACTCCGGGAAAGCTTCAAGGAAATGTGAGATATGACGAACTCAAAACAACACACAAAATATTGACTGCAGAATACGACACAGGAATTTTCCTAGGTTTTTTCCTTATAAATAAAAGATAAATGATATTTAACTTATTTCAATCTATCAACAGTTTTAAACTGAACATGACCTGTGAAAGAAATCATTATAACTGTGTTTCATTCCATTAAACACAACTAGCTTATTGTCAAGAGAACAAACCGCCTCTCCAGGTTTCGGGCTCACTTCAGCATTTTGCATTTAAACTGCATGGATCACTGGTTTGGCTCATTTACCAATGAAGGTAGAATAATATTGCAGAGTTAAAAAGGTGCTTCATCAGATTTCATTAAATCTGGGAACATCTGCACTTGTCTGGATGGTGTGCATACATATAAAACAGATACATACGTAGTGATAAACAAATGAAGGTCTGTCTGCGGGGGCTTTAGATGGGTCTTTGCCTCTTGGGAGGAAAATTTCGTTCCCTCAGTGGAAAAAATCATGGCCATCTACATTCCCAAAACCAAGTACAAAAATCTAAAATTGGCCCCTCATCACTTTCGGCAGCAAGTCAAAATGGCACCACCTCACAACATAGCCATGCTCAAGGGGACACAGAAGAGCTGGTGCACTGAAAATCCCACAGTGTTACAACTGAAAACTACTGGACAGAAGGCATCACCGGGGCTGGGACAAAGACCACACACCACAGAGAAGAGCTGCAGTAGGAATGTATCAAGTGAGTTTGTAATGGGGCTCTTCCTTCTCACTTGGTTTGTGGCTCCCTATCCCTGCAATCTATTTTTCAGAATAGTCAGATTATGTGACTGTTACTCCATTTCCGGCTCAGACACCAATAATCTGGAATCCCCACCAGATCCACAAACAGCACGTGCTACTTTGATAGCATGCGGCTCTACTGAGTGAGTTCTTCAAATTAGTTTTTTAGGTCACAAAATTAAATTTGCTATATTTTAATAATTAAATCCATATATACACAATATGTCTGTCAGTAACTTCGCTACAGTCTAATAAATCATCCTTTCCCTGAGAAAAGGCAATCTGCCATCCCATTCAAAACAAGGTATGGAAAATGAAATAGATATGAAACAGCATTAAAAATATACTTGATGAGTGAAGGGAAGGGAACCTGTTCTGAGCTTTAGATCTTCCCTATTTTGAAGCAACATCCAACATAAAACAATGGGTTTTTGATTTAGATTAATCTCTCCACTGTACTGACAGTAACTAGTAAGACTGGGAAAAGAAACAAAACAGCCTTCTGTTTCCTGGAGAAACGGCTGCCAACCAGTCCTAAGGTAGGATGCTACTTGTGTTTTAGCAGTTCACACAAACAATGAACACTAAGAAGCCAGAAATGACCCAACACGCTCCCCTTTCAGTCCTCCTGCACACATTCTCTCCTTCAACAGCAGACAGTCGTGTCGTGGGTGAGAAATGCAGGTTCTATCCCTGGTGACCTTGGGAGGTCGGGTAACCAAAATACATCCCAACGCGAATACAAGTGCTTCAAGCAAACATGGCTGGAAGAGACATATATACCTAACTCTAAAATGAAAGCTTTTGCAACCTTTTAAAAAATGTAACATGCTGCTATTTTCTGGAGTTTTATGAAATAAAAACTACTTGTGAAATGTATTCATTTCTCATCTCTCCCTCATCCCCAGAGCGTAGAAAGTGTACGACAGATGAGTCTACACGGCTGGTTCTGATTCCGCCTTCTTTCCAAGGGAGCACTTCTGAGGAAATAAAGGTTGCCCCTTCCCATTTATGATGTCGTCCAATTTACTACCAGTATTTTCTTGTGGTCAGAGGGCCACATAACAGAGCTCAAAATAGCCCATTAAAAAACAAGCCACAATCAGACTAGGACTCCACCACCGCCGCCAGTCATCCCAGAGTTGTGATTTCCTTTGTTAAAAGACAGAGGCATAATTGAAGCAATATCTTCACTTCAGATTGATTATCAGGCGACCCTTATCCGCATCTTCACTCAGCAATTTGAATTTTAATGAAAGTAAATGGAATAATTAGCATTTCAAAGTGTGTTTGATACACTGAGGGGAAAAAAAGAGAAAAGACTTTTGTGTATAATCTATACACAAAAGAAAGTATTTGGGAGGGGGCAGAGAGAGGAAAGTATAGTTGTATTGTCTTCATTAGAATAATCTAAGGAACTGCTTGTACCAGCTGCATAAATAGAGATGTGATATTGTGCTCTTTTCAGCTAAGATTTTTCACCTTTATTATCCCTTAAGTTTTAGCACCTTATTTTATTACTTGTTACCTTCATCTGGAAGAACAAAAATCTAAGCAGAGTTGGAGTGATTGCACAAACCTATGAATTCCAGCAGGATTTCTATGCAACATTAACGCTACCATCACCAGAAAGAATTTCCTAATTGGGTCACTGACTTTGCCAAAAGGTACATCTTTCATCTAGTATTCCAACTACAAATGGACACTAGCCCTTAAGAACACTCATCACAAAGGAGGAAGAGTAGCTGGGAGATACAAAAAAAAAATGTACATTTCACCAAAAACAGTATGAAGGTACTCTATATTTGCGGAAAGATCAAAGAAATCAGGTCATTTTACCATCAGCGCAATCTCCATCTTTCTTTTCAGGCCTAGGCCAGCAACGGGAGCTGATTGCAAAGGAAAGAAATATTATGAAAAACAACTGTCTAATCCCCTTAGGAGAGAATTTCTGGGAACATGTCAACTGGAATTGGTGAGAATGTGATCCAAAGTTTCTGAGGAAGCCATCCAATTTCACATGAGACAGAAGGCAAAATGCTGAATTTCACTTTGTGGTCCTCTATTGCCTTTTGCCCTTTTGATGGAACAAAATTTAAAAAGAGAGAGCAAGCGAGCGGATGACACACACTAAGATCAGAGCTAAAATGGAAAGGCCACGTACCCCAATGATGGCGTTCAGTTCGGCCATGGTCACCTGCTTGGCCCGTTCCACAGCCTGCACCACTTGTTGCTGGTGCTATAAATGAAGATCAGAAACAGAATACAATTATTTGCTTTCTAGTCAGTCAAGAACAGCTTTTCCTAACATGTCCTCTAACTTCAATTACATGCAAAACAGGATTTAGGGGTCTCCATATTTCAAATAAAAGCCCCCAGTGGTGGCTGACTAAATGTCTAGGGTACACTTGGGTCTCTACTGCAGAGAAGTAAATGGGCAACCAACTGTACCCCCACGAAGGACACTCCCCTACAACTGGTAGAAGCAGCTTAAATTTTACTTTGATGTCAGTGGTGCGCTGTGGCCCAACATCTTCCACTAATACTAACAAACACGACAACACAACCCATCCCCCACCTGCTTTCTTTGTACCCCCTTTTCTCTGCCATCTACATAAAAATTCTGAAAAATATTTCCTGGAAGTATTTATTTTTAAAATTTCTCCTGGTAGTTGTTACAGTAAGCACTAGAAGGCCATTTAAAATTAAACATTTACTGTCTTCTGAAAATGTGTAAAGTGTTCATGTTTTAATTCCTGTCATGAAGGGCTGCATATTTAAAAGAGATTAAAAATGTATAACTTTCACTAGCAGTAAAGTCTAAGGACTTCAGGTGTTTCTTCTCCGTGCAACAGAAGACTAAAACCTACAAGTTTCATTTATTTTTCTTCTGGAAAAACTAGGACAGATAGTATAGGAAAATCCCTCCCTCTATCCAGAATTCAGTTCTAAAGAGAATGAGCAAGAACGGAGTATTGGTAATTTGGGTAATATTAAAAAAATGAAGTAGCACAGAAGTCTCTGCAAGGGGGCACTCACCCACTTCTGGACATACACTTGTGTGTCCACAAGTATCCCCCCAAATATACATATTATTCTCAACTAAATACACTTGAACACTCTAGTATCTACATTCTCGAATTTGGTCTAAAATAGGTCTGTCTCCTCTGGACTTTTTTCAACTAGGTTTAATGAATGAAGAGCCAAAAAGACTGTTCTATGAGACAGGCACTCCTCTGTGTGGCTAGGAAGAATCTTTTGACTGATCCTAGTTGAGAAATATAACTAACTTTCTCTCCACTGATTTGAAGTGAATACGAAGCTTAGCTAGCATATTGCTTAATACACACAAAAAGTTAAGCCATCGATTATATATATGAAATTCCCCTTGAGGTACATCGTATTACATTTCCAAACTCTCAAAAATACCCAGTTCCTGCGATCAACTAGGGTGACCAATATTTCCACGTCCCAGCTGTGTAGGGTTAGAAGGGGCGTGTGGAGTGTGGAAAAGAAAACTGCTTTAGTTACCCACATGTGGTGTTTTCACCCTTGATTTCCTAATAAGAATGTGTATTTTTTGCCTATTAATCTAATGGAAAGAAAAATGTCAAACAGATCACTGCATCTTGAGCTTTTAATAAACTCTGAACATTAAACTAGATATCGTTGATTTTTCTCTTAATTGTAAGAGTTTCAAAACAAGGGCCTAAGAAACAAACCCAGTCTTTTTTTTTTTTTTTTAAGATTTTATTTGAGAGAGCGTGTGCGCACGTGCACGAGCGGGGGGGAAGGGGCAGAGGGAGAAGCAGACTCCCGGCTGGGCTAACCCTAACCCTAACCAGATCCATGAGACCCTGACCTGAGCTGAAGGCAGAAGCTTAAGGGACTGAGCCACCCAGGTGCCCCAAAAGTCTTTCTAGATATCTCCACCCATTCTCTTACTCTTTAATAAAATATTTCCCAAAGTGAAATAACTCATTTCCTTCTCTGTTTGAAGAAAGTAAAAGTCCTAAAGATTTATAAAGACACTAGTAGAGGAACAGAGACGCATGCTCAATAAAGTGACCAGTAACAGCAGTTTTTCCTCGAAGCTACCCTAACCAGTATGTTAACCTACAAGCACAGAGTTCATGTTTAGATTTAAAGCAATCTAATTGTCAGAGTAGTGAAAAATGGCAGTACTCGGACAACAGAGAAAAAGACAACATGTAGGACGACTCTGGGATTTTTCTAATACTCAAAGTGAGTACATGGATAGAAAATGGTAATGGATTTTCCACCTTTTACTCTCCAACATGCAACAACGGCTGCTCAAAACTTCAAGAAACTGAAAGCCAAAGGACCACACAAACACCCTTCCAAACTATCACTCACTCCACTCATGCATCCATTCAACAAAAGCCTTTTTAAGTTCTTACTGTGTCCAATTTCTGTATATTACTGAAATATTTCCGTATTAGTGTAATATCCTCTACTTTATATCACACATTCAAAGAACAGTTCCTTAAGACAGACATGCAGAAAATACAGCTATTAGGGGCCTTTCTACCATGAAGATTGTTCAACTCTTGCTTCATAACCTGGACTCCAACTGCCAAGACGGGGGCAAAGACGCCTTAGGGCAGTGGGGTTATCTTTCTGGCTCAGCATTAAAATCAAGCGCGTTTACTGAGAAAAACAGAAACACAGCAGTGAACCAGAACACTGACATCTGATGTTCCTATAGAAACTCTTGCTAAAAAGCTAAAATGACAATGGAAGTCATGATTCAGCTCCTTCATTTCCTCTCATGGCAGTGGCCACGGGCTAATAACCACATCTGAACTCTACCTGGAGTTCAGGATTTTACTTCCCTAATTCTGCTTACAACTGTGAATCATCTGCTGGCTTAAGGACCTTTTGAACAGAAGCTCCCTAAGGCAAAGAATGTCTCCTCCCAGTGTGCTCTGAAAGCACCAGAAACACCCTGCCACTGCTCACTCAGCCACGTTAGTAACACTGTAAGAAGTGCACCTCAGGAAAGAAGGGGCAAACGATCACTAAAGAAAAAAAATGAACACTCGATGAAGAAGCCCAAAATCCTCATAAACTGACCCAAAGGTAGAATTTTTTTTCCATTTTTAAGAAATAAGCTCTCTGACTCAGAAAACACAGCAAGTTTTTCACATCTCCTCAGAACCCTGATGGTTTTCCCATTACGTCTGCCATCTCTTCCCCTTTTCTTCCCCTTCCCCATCTGTTCCTCTCCTCCCATTCCACCCTGCATCTCATTTCCTCTCCCACTTCCTGCTTCTCCCCTCTGCCACCTCACCACAAGTGGTGACAGCCACTCTAGCCCCAGTCAATCTGCAGAAAGCAACAGTCCTATGGCCTCTTAGTGCTCAAGCTGCTCCCTCACATAGGGGCTCCGGATTGAACTTTTTCTACCAGCACCACCAAATAAAATGCTACTAAGAATGTATCAATAAGCCTAAGGTGAGAGAGGGGGCCCCTAACCGGGACTTGGAAGGGGGGGAAGCCCAATAATTTATTCTTTAAAATACTGTGATTTATAATTTTAAAAAAGAAATCCTTAAAAAAAAAAAAAACCTATAATGTGATTATGGTTGTACAACTCTGTAAATTTACTAAAAATCACTAAATTACACACTTAAAACAAATGGATTTTATGATGTCTAAGTTATATCTCAAATATTGTGATTTAAGGAATACAAGCATGGATGGAGGCACTAAAATGAAATTCTATACATTAAATCACTTTCCTACTTAACTTTCATAAAATTATTTTTTGCTTTTTTCAGGAAAAGTCTTAAGAATAATTTTTTCAACAAGAAAGAGACTGAAACAATAGAAGTCATAAGTCCAACAAAGCCTGCTGAGAAACAGACCTTAACAAACCACTAATACATGTATAACAGGTATTTAATGTATGTTTTGGGGAAGAGATGACAATGACCATACCTGCCATGCCAATACTTTAGGGCATGGCAACAGATGTAGTACTTCCAATAAAAACAAGAAAAAACTGCTACAACTTAGAATTTTTTTTAATACCCACCCCCTCCCTTACCTCCCTTATTGATAAGGGTAAGTAAAGAGGTAAGTGGGTAAAGGCAGCGGTGTAAAATGAAATAGGATTTTTATAATGAACAACATTAATGTTCCTGACATGTGACAAGAAAAAGTAAGCACTTGGAATAATGGCCCCACTACTCCTCAAAGAATACCCAGACATAGAGCATCTTACACTATACAGGAAAGCAGGACATAAAATAATACTAAGGGAGGTTATAGGAAGGAATGCCCAGCATACTTCCTGGAGCATCAGGAAAGGCTTTGTTTTCTTATTCATTCATTCAATTATTTATTAAGAACCTACTGTGCGCCAGGCAACTGTGGCGGGCACTGAGACTAGAGTCATGAACAAGACACTCGGTGAATGAATAACACTCACAAGCCACGGTAATATCACAACTGGAGGATAATTTCCATGAAGAAAATTACAGGATGCTATGCAATCACTTACCTTTTTTTTTTTTTTTTTTAAGATTTTATTTATTTGACAGAGAGAGACACAGCGAGAGAGGGAAGACAAGCAGGGGGAGTGGGAGAGGGAGAAGCAGGCTTCCCACCAAGCAGGGAGCCCGATGTGGGGCTCGATCCCAGGACCCCAGGATCATGACCTGAGCCGAAGGCAGACGCTTAATGACTGAGCCACCTAGGCACCCTACGCAATCACTTATTGGGGAAATACCTAATGGAATCTTAGGGCTGAAGGAAGATTTCCTGTGGAGGCTGACCCAACAACTGGGACATGAAGGATGTGCAAGAGTTCTGTGGATGAAACAAGGAGAGAAGAATCCCAGGCAGAGAGAAGAGCTTGGGCAAGGTCCCTGGAGGAGAAAGGAGCTGTCAAGGAAAAGAACGAACGTGGATGGCTGCAGGAGAACAGGGTAAGGGGAAAAGTTGGGAGAGACGAAGCAAGGTGGGACTGAAAGCCTTCTCAGGCATGGCAAAACACACATGCAAACTTTAAAATGGAAGAAATATTCACAAAAAGAACAACAAAGGCAAGCTCCTGAAGTCACATGGGTACGGCCCGGGCATGCTCTCTAGAACCACGTACTAGCTCTCTAGAACCACATACTAGCGGAAGTGAAATCTGTCAAGGCAGGAGGAGGCCAAACACTGGCAGGCCTTGCATGACATGTGGAAAACTTAGACTTTATCCTGATA